GGTTCATGAATTAACCGAAGAACGTTAAGCCCAGCTGCAGTAGCAGCTTCTCTGCAATAAAGACACAATTTATATTAGTACGTCACTTTAGATTGATGCCTTCTTTCAACATAAAACAGCAAAGTACCTTATTTTGGTATAGCTGGACCCTATCCCTGCATCACCACCACAAACACCTTACAAAACATTGCCAACCCACTACAAGACATACAGTTAGCATGCCAAGAGACATTTTACTTAAGCACAGATAGGCACATTGTGGTAGGAGAATAAGCTGCATACCTATGTTTGTTCATGAAATTGAACGTGAAGCTCAAAAAGCTCAAACCAGTACAGGAAATGTGCACCTGTTTCTCTTTGGAGACCTTGGTGACTATGCAGTTAGCAATGTCTGAACACAAGGAACGGGAGGGTGCATGAGAGTCAGGGCCAGGCCTGACATGCAGTAGGGTAAAGTGATCAGGTGGCATCAAGAAGAGGGAACAGGTGGAGGCACAAATGAGTGCTTCTATGACGCAGCAAGACTTTTTAACTGTTAGCCCTAAATCTGCTACAAATAGCAAAATGCCTTCAGCTGGCATGTCTGAGCCCTTTCCTATTTTATACAGTGCTCTGCACTGAATGGTCCACTCCCAATGCAGAATGTGTACCATGGCAAGAAGAAAGGAATAGGGGCATCCAACTGGAAGTCAAGATGCATGCTAGCCTGGCGAGTGAAAATTGGCCAGGAAAGATGAGGCCACTGCTGGTAAAGGTTTTCAGTTCCTCCTAGTGAAAAAACAGGGTGCTTGGTAGTCGTAAATCTGTGACTCTCTGGCCTCTGCTCAAGATACCAGCTTCCATGGAAGACTGACCTACAACAATGTCCCATAAGCTGGCTATTTAAGAACTACCCGTATGGCAGCTATAAGCTCATGTGGTTGTCTATCATGTGGCTACAAAGTGAGCCAAAAGTTATCACAAACCCGCCACTCAATTTCTGAGTAGTTTTAACAGTCCATTTACTGTGTGGTAGGAACCTGAATATTGTTTTCTCTCCGTGGTGCCAGAACCTCTAAGCAGGAAGTTCTTAAACAACTACAACAAGTGATGTTATTTCACTGAAAGAGTCCAATTAGATGAGAATTGAGCTACTCCAGGTTAACACCATGTACTTATGGTTGAGCTGAGATGTTGAACCCAGATCTTCCAAGTCCAAATATGTCCAAATGCCTCCTGTCCAGACATCTCAAATTCCCACAAATACAATTAATAAAAATAAGCTGAAAATTGTATTCTCACCCAAGGGCATTCTTCTGTTTATCTCCGAAGTCAAAAGGTACCGTAATCACAGTGTCATTAACATCTGAGCCCAAAGCAGACTGAGCAGTTTCTAATACAAAAATATATTGTATTGTGAGTACAAGCAAATTCAATTTACAGGTATACGTACTTTTCTTCTGGGGAAATAGTTTAAAAATGTACATTTTAATATCATACCTTTCATTTTACTGAAGATAAGCTTTGCAACATCTTCTGGGGAAACAAGTTTGCCATCTATTTCATAGTTTAGTTTTCCATTCTTTTCAATGACCTACAAATGAACATACAAATATGACTCTCTCTCAGCTTATCTATTATAAAAGATTCTGCAAGATTCCTTTCGCCTGATAAATGATTTAGAAAGCAAATATTACACACACATCCTAGGTCTGCTCCCAAGGGGTGGTGACACTCTAGAACAAATGGGGAGGGGAAGAAGGAGGAGGAGTCCACTAGCATTGCACTGTATCCCTCCAGCAGGCACAAGAGTAATTTTCGGTAAATAATCTGATGAATTGCAGATATATTGGTTCAGTAGTTTTTGTGCTAGGTTCCTGTGCTAAGCTAATTGTGGATGGGGTGGAAGAGAACTCAATGGGAGTTGCTTGCCTCCCCCAAAGGCAATGGGATTGGAGAACTGAGTGAAATCATTCCCTCTAATTACAAGCTTGACCTGTCAGTCACAACAGACCTCTCCTGCTGTTTAACATTATATAACACCACTGGGTGCTGTCATTAGGACATCTGAAACAAATTGTCATCAGTTTGTTGCTTGACACCCAACTCTATTTCTTTGTGACATTAGAATCAGGCCAGTGTCTGGACGTATTGCTGGGCTGGATTAGAGTGAATCAGTGAACTGAGACTGCACTAATAACTTCAAGGCTGAAGTAACCACTGTGGGGCTGCCCTCGTCTCTGGTCTGGAAGCTGCAGCAAGTCAGAAGGGGGTCGCACAGTCTGTGGCTGGGTTTGCCTTCCACCAACATATAACACCAGTACTAAGAGAGCTGCACTGGAGGTCAATCTGCTACCGGAACAAATTTAAGGTTTCATTTTTACTGTATAAAGCCTTTTTATACAGGTTTTGTTTTTTTTTTGAGAACTATTTTATCTGGTTCTGCTTGTTGTATATCACTATGGTATTTGTGAAATGTTTAGCAGTTTATAAATACTACTAATAGTAATGGGAGGAAAACATGAAGTAGCTTCTTACTTACTGAACATTTACTTTCTGCAATGTACTTCTCAGCTTGTGGGTCTCCAGAGCTGTCAAAACAAGGGAAATTGACGTGTAATTAAACAAAAAAACACACCCCAAAATTTACATTTATATTTTCAGCACATAAGAATTGTGTTTTATGAAGTCCTCCTTAATCTTTAATTGTTCAAAGCTTTCTTTATGTATTTCAGCACGATATCAGAATTTGGACTTTTTATTTCTTAATAGTAGAAAAAAATACAAAACAAAGTTACATTCCAGAATAACTTGCTTTAATTTTTGTTAAATAAAATATATACTGCTTACAAGAGACTTTTAAGCAGCCTGCTTGCATATTTAAGCCTGGTAACAAGGTTTGTACTTACATGCCAGTTTTTATACATTTTTGTTTAACAATCCCATTCTGTCAGATAAACCCACACTAAATCCCAAAATGAAGTTCACTATTACTTTCCGCACCTTCTCCCGAGAATCTGCTTCACTTTCACCACTGTATTTGAAAGATTTCTCACTCTGTTTTGTTTTGCTGCCAGACCAACAACCTGGAAATAATTTTAAAAGATTTGTTCAAAAACAACAAAGGTACCACCACTTTTTCCTCAAATTTATACTGGGGGAAAAGTTACCTCTTCGTTTTCTGAAAATGCAACAACAGCAGGAGTAACCCTGTCACCTGCATCATTGGCGACAACATCTGCACGACCATCCTGAAGAAGCAACACACACATGGAGTAGAATGATTGAGTATAATAGCTCATTGACACAGAAATTAAACACAGTAACTCATTACCACTTGGAAACCCCGGAAAATAATATCATTTTTTAATACAGGATCCCTTAATTTTGTTTGTCCAGCAGAGGCTAGATTCTGTTCTTGACTATTACCTTACCACGGAATGCACAGGGTAAATTTTGTATAAAGACAAATAATGTACAAAGGAAACTCTTGTAAATGGAAGCTTCCATTCCAATACATACTGGGAATAATATAACAGGATCCTTTTGTTGATTTGTTTTCCAGCTGCTCTAGATTGATGGCCCACCCCAAACCATAGATAACGAAGAGTGCTGGACTCACATGTAAGCCATAATTAAAACAAACTAAGCTTCATAAGCCAACAACAAATCATTACTTCAGTTTATAGATTGTTGGCAGTAAATTGGCCATAGTTAAGTTAGCAGGGTTCACAAATACTACTAAACTGTGATTTCATAAACCATAATACAGTGGTACCTCGGGTTAAGTACTTAATTCGTTCCGGAGGTCCGTTCTTAACCTAAAACTGTTCTTAACCTGAAGCACCACTTTAGCTAATGGGACCTCCTGCTGCTGCTGTGCTGCCGGAGCATGATTTCTGTTCTCATCCTGAAGCAAAGTTCTTAACCTGAAGCACTATTTCTGGATTAGTGGAGTGTGTAACCTGAAGCGTATGTAACCCGAGGTACCACTGTATAAGCAACTACAGCTTAGAATTATGTGCAAACCAGACCAATGCATATATTACTTTATCCAGCAAAGTGGCATTCAAGTAAACTGATGGAAATGCATTTTACAATAAGCACACAAGCTTTCTCTTATTTATGTGAGATGCTCCTCTTGCAGGGCTGGTTTTCTGGGGGGGGGAGGGAGGGGTCTTAAGCACAGGGGACCACGGACTCTCTCCTGATTAGGATTAATCCAATTTGTATGCTGCCCTTCAACCAGAACAAACCAATAACGTCCCCCTCCCACAAACAAATTCGGGAGGATACAAATTTAATAAATAATAACAACGGCAGCAATAACAGCGATTTAAAGGCTTCTGGCTACTCCAACGTCCTCCTCAAACCTCGCTCTAGCCACTCAACAGCACTCCCTCGCCCAGGGAACGAAAATTATTATTATTATTATTATTATTATTAAAATTACATTTATTTATTTCTCCCTGCCCCCCCCTTAGGCCTACACGGAAGAGGGGAGACCCCCCCCCAACCTGCCGCGCACCTTATAGGCGGCCGCGCACGCGCAGCTGCTGCCCAGGTGGACCCCGATGGCCGCCATGGATCCGCCGTCGCCGGGAGACGTCTTACCCACAGTGCACCTCGAGGCGGGCTGCGTCAGCGCGTGCGCGTGCCGCTTCCTCTCCCTCCGCCTCCCGGCCGCGCAGCTTTGTTTCCCCGCCCCAACTCAGCTGCAACAGCCAATCAGCAGCCGCGTAAGCCCGGGCCTGCTTCCGTAACCGGAAGAAGCGCACAGACGGAGGCAGCGAAATGAAAAAAACATTAAAAACCGGCCTCTTCGCGTGACGTTCCGCGGTGGGCGGGCGGAACTCTCGCGAGATCAGGTGCCGCAGACGCAGCCATGTTGCGGCCGCCTCGGCCGGGGGGCCTCCCTTGCTGCCTCGCCGTGGCGCTCTGCCTCGGCCTCGCCTCCGCCTCTAGTCCCGCGAGGGGCGCGGAAGCTCCGTGCGAAGGTGAGGGGCTGGGGGGGGGAGGCTGCGGGGTCAGGACCCACGAAATAGGGGGCGGGGAGGGACCTGAGAGGAGCGCATGGCAGTCCCGCACGTGTGCACGCACAGACACGTGAATTTGTACATCCGTTTGTGCTTGGCTCGCCGGAGCTTAAAGGCAAGACCTTCCCCCCACACCGGCAGGTGGAAAGAGAGAGGGAGAAGAGACCCGGAATACGGGGCGAATCACAGGAGGTGGCATTTCGCACTGGAATATGGGACAGCCCCACTTTGTACGCCACACATAGAGGAAAACACACAACCACACATCCATTTGGTCTGAGGTTTAAAGGGCTCCCAGTCAGCCGCCAGTGTGCTGTGTTATGGTACGTGTAAAGCCACGCTGTGATCTCCAAGTGAAGGGCAGTTTATTAAATTAAATAAATAATAAATAAATAAATAATAAAATTAAATAAAAACGCCTGTTTGTGTTTGTTGCAGTTCTTCTAAATGGTGCAAAATTGGAACGTTTGTTTGTTTTGCTAAGCTTGCAGCTGTGGCACAATACTAACTCCCTGCTGTCAGTGTTGCTGTTGATGGGACCCCCTCAAAACAGTGCGATTTACATTTGGGCTGGACCATTCCCCCCCCCCTTTTTGCTGCTTTTTAAATGATAGCTTTTAAGTAGATCTGCATGTCAAAATACAAGATTTGGACAAACTCAGCCCTCCAGCTGTTTTGGGACTACAACTCCCATCAGCCCTGACCACTGGTCCTGTAAGCTGATGCCTGATGGGCATTGTAGTCCCAAAACAGCTGGAGGGCCGAGTTTGGCCATCACTGGGTTACAAGTTGATGCTCAGTGCAGAAGTCCCATTTTATGTTATAAAACGTATATACCACTTGATTGTAAACCTCAGAGGTTTACAAATAGTACATGTGTACGTATATGGGAGGGGATATATGGATTTGTTTTCATTCATGTTTTCATTATGTATTTAGAGTTTTTATTTTGTATTTTTATGCTGTGAATAGCCCTGAGATCTTTGCATGGAAGGCAGAATACAAATTTAATAATAACACACCCTCACTGAGAACTCAGTTATATGTAAGGAACTATGTTTTGAATGGTTTGAGCCTTCAGAATAGGATCATGGTTCAAAATAAGGGTTTTGTGAAACAGGTGATAAAACACCAGCTCCTTATTCGTATTGGCAACCTAAGGGCAGAGGATTAAAAGCACTCCTTTAGCAAGTGTGTTTTCAAAATCAGCGCACATCCACTCAGGAGGGATTGGAGTATCAGAGAAATTCATGACATGCTCTAGAGCCCGGTGTGATGGTCCTCAGGATTTGAACCCGTGATCTGCAGTGAAGCAAAAGTACCACAGCATAACCTAAGTGAGCACACTTTCCCAGGGCCTTTAACAATGTCCAAATCTGGATGGGGTGCTGCATTAATCAGGGTCCTTCTCAATTGGGGGGGGGATTCAACCAGTAGCTGTTTCTGCTGTCCTGGAATTGGACCCAGGAAGGGGCTCACTGGTTCACACAGGAGGACTGATTCTTTCCCATTAAAGAACCAGAGAAAGTACATGATCTACATGATCAAGAGCTGTTGCCTGTGGTATGATAAAACATAGATCACAACTTTCTCTCTGCTAGTTCATATAAATAAAGCTACCCTATAGGTAGCAGACTTGTCTACACGGGCCAGCAACCACTTAGTTTTCAAATCATCTATCAACCTTTTATGAAATTCTGAAACAAATAAAAGAACCTACCTCTAGAGGAACTGGACAGAAGAATAAGTACTGGATATTTCCAACTGCGCTTTTGTAGTTTCTTCTACAATATGGGAAGTGAACTTCATTTACTGCTGATTTTGATCATTTTTAAATGTTTCTATTTTTTTTTACTGTCTTTATTGATATCTTTGATATTTATTGTAAACTGGAGGTTTCATTTCAATCAAGTGATAGATTAATTGTGTCGAATAAAGATGAATTAAATGTTCTCTTTGGCAGTGGCGAGAAATATTTTTTTTATTTTTCACATAAGAGAGAAGATCACCTGTGTGTATGAGGATCAGTGTGCATATCCAAGCCCTCTTCCGAAAATGATGTCCATCTATAAGCAAGAGAACCGCATTGTTTTTATTTGCCTGTATAGAGGAGGGGACTTGAAAGGCTTTTGGGGCAGAAAAGCAGCCTATGAATATAAGTCAATAAAGATTGGTGTAGGGCTTTCTTCACTGTGAGTGTAATGTTCTCTGACTCCTTTAGGTCCTATGCCTCCCGACAACTTTCTGGCTTTTTCCAATAGCCACGATGGGTCAGTGTAGGGGCCGGATCCTGCCCAAGAGTCACCAACTCCCCCCCCCTTTAATGCCAGCCCTGCACAGTAACAGCAGGGCTGTCCTACAACGGGCAGGGAACTCCAGGCACCAAAGGGAGGATTGTCGTACCGGCAACACAAACCCTCCAACATTCCTCAGGTGAAAATAGGGACATTTCTCCCTTCCCACCCCCCTTCCCCAATTTCTCTCGCCCTCTGCAAAGCATATCCTGTCAGAAGAAGGGTGAGTGCCCAGTGGTGGAGCTGGGTGCTCTGGCACCCGGAGGGGCACACATACCGTGCACCCGGGGGCAAGCAATCTGCCCACGGGGGTGGGGACAAACCGCCCACGGGACCTATCTTGGCACGGCAATCCTCCCTGGGGCAGATCTCAGTACAGCTGCGCGATCCTCCCTGGGGGCTGCCCCCTGTGACTCCCAAGCCTACAGCGAGCCAGGGGAAGGGGGAGAGCCGCAGCAGCCATTTGCTGGGCTTGGGGGAGTCGTGCCGAATGTCACCCCCCTTCAGGATGACACCCGGGGTGCCCCGCACCCCCTTCCTATGCCCCTGTGAGTGCCAACACCACTACGGGGTACAGTACACATACCCTCCACTGTCCTGAGAAAACCCCTTGGTCCCGATTTTATTTTATTCTTCAGAAGATTTACAAAGAGAAAAACACCCAAGAAATAAATTTGGAAAGGGGCAGGATTAGACATGGACACACAAAGCATTTTTTGTTTAAAGCAAGACTCTGCTCTTCTGCCCCTTTGTTCCCTCCCAGGGCAACCCTGCCCTCGGCCTGCCCCTCAGAGCCATCATGCCAGGCTGGGCTTTGGCAGCGGCAGCCTCTCCTCTTGCTCCTCTCCTGCCTCCAGCAGCCTCTATGAGTTGCCCAAGAGAGGAAGCCAGCAGCACTGGCCATGGGATGCTGGCTTGCAGTCGCCACTGCTGCCACCCAGTCGCTCAGGACTAGCACCCGCTCATCCACTGGCAGTGGCAGCACTGGTGGGAGAAATGGGGACATTCCAGGATCAAATCAGAAGCTGGGATTGGAAATAGGGACGCTTGGAGGGTATGGCAAGAACCCTTTTATGCTTGTTCAATGCACACACGGTTGTGCACATTGCTGCAACCTGGAAGTCGCTGGAAAAGGGAATGCACACTCCCCCCGTGCACATGGTGTGTGCCTGGATTCCTTAGTGTGTGCCCTCTTGCTTGCCTTGATGAAGAGATCTGTGAGGGGTGGGGGTTGAAACCTCAGACTTTTGTGTGGTTGCAACATCGCCTACTGAAGAAAGATGATGATGATGATTATTACTATTATTTACTATTAAAAATTATGTTTAAAAAGGCCTAGGATAGTTCAGTTGGCAGAGCCTGAGACTCTTAATCTCAGAGTTGTGGGTTTGAGGTCCATGGTATTGCAGGGGGTTGGACTAGATGGCCTTTGGGTCCCTTCCAACTCTGATTCTGTGATCTTTCGTTCAAGCCCCAGTCCCACCCTTGCCTCATTTTTTCCATTTCCCCCAGTTTCCCCCCCCCAGTTTTCCCCCTCCCCACCCCTCCAGGCCTTCTCATCTCTAGCCCTGCCCAGCACTTCTGTCTGACCCCTGGAATGCCCCCCCCTGCTGCTGTCCTCAAGGGAAAGGCAAGGGTCTTTCCCTGGGACACAGTGATGAGTAGGGGGCCTAAGTGGAGTCACTGGAAGGCAATAATAAGCATCTCAGCATGGGGCCATTTCCAGATGTGCATGCGCTGCAAGAATGGCAAGCCATTCTGTGTGAAGTTAGTCATTTTAAAATTTATTTTCAACTTTGTTTTCTGTCGATCTCTTTGACCAAAGCACTCTGGGTGTGTCTGTTATTTTATATTTTACCTTTTTCTTACACAGTGTGTCAAGATTTTTTGAAAAGATTTTATAGTTCTTTAAAAGAAAAGCACTCTGATTTCTCCGTGGCTTCTATTGAGAATGAATTAGTCAGGAGCTGCATGAACACAAAAGGAAAAGAAAACCGCTTGGTATGACTTTGTACTCTTTTCCCCCTTGGGAATGCTTCCAGTGCTTAGGCTGTGTACACACTTTACCATAAAAGCACATTCATAGCCTGGGAGATTGCAGTCAAACATAACTATGCATGAGTGCCAGTTAATGCATGAAGGGTAAGACTGCACAGAGTTAGATTCCTAGACTCCGCCTGGTCACCCCCCCCCTTTTCCAATGAGGGAGGAAGTGGAGCTTTCTCTCCCTGTTCCTTCTCTTTCCATGCCATGGAACCAACCAAGGAAGACATGCCAGGGCAAGCTCCAAGCCAACTTTCTGTATTTTCAACTCATGAGTATTCTGCCTGTGCTCTTCTTGCTGCTATTTGGATAAATGCGTGAATCTGACCTTTGGAATGTTTTGTAAGTAAAGCATTTCAAGCTTAAGAGTCTGTGGTCTGTTCATTGCAGGAGGGGTAGAGAGAGGGGAGTGCTTTGCAAGAGGACTAAAAGGTTTGCAAGAGGACTAAAAGGTTTTGGCAGCCTATATTCCTATACTTCACTATCCTGCTTCACTTTGTGAGTTTAAACTCTGCAACTAGGGGCTCTCTCTAGCTAGAGAGTTAGTTTAGTCCCACGCTTTGAATCCAGGCACCTGGCCGATTCCTTTGTGATTCACCCCACACAAGTGGGTCACAGGGATTCTATTTTCACGCACACAAAGCACATTCTTTTCCTGAAAGAAACTGTAGTTCTCCCCTCACAGAGCTATAGTTCCCAGCAACAAGCTACAGTGCCCAGAATCCTTTGAGGAGTAAAAATGTGCTTTAAAGGTAGAGTGCATGCATGGGAGAGGAGCAAGAGGGAAGCCGCTTTCCTCCAGTGAAGCAGGACCTTTAGTGATGAATCAGAGCAAACTGCTTCAGGCTTCCCAAAGATTTGCTCCAGTTGTTCCAATTAGTGCTAAAGAGCAGGTTTTCCAGAGGAAAGCAGCAGAGCAAAGGCAGAACCACTTGGACCCTTGCTTTCTAGGCACGAGGCAAGCGGAAGTATGAGTGAGCCCTAACTCTGCACTGGTACTGACAAGATTTCTATTCTTGTAGTGCTACTACATCGGAGCCACAAGTGATGCAGCAACCAAGATAATTGGCGAAGTCAGCCGCCCAATGAGTGCTCACATACCTGTGCCAAAGATCTGTGAGAAGCTGAAGAAAATCGACATTCAAATCTGTGAGCTCAAATACGGTATGATGAAATCCCTGTGCAAAACAAAGGAGGGCATAGCAAAATAGGCATATTGGAGACAAAGGAGCCCAGGTTCAGACATGGCACTAAACCAAACCACGGCTTAGCTCTGGGCATCTGCAGGATCGGGGAAGAAGAGAAGCAGCTGGGATTTGTGTTGCATGGACTCACTCATTCGCACTTGGCCATGCTCTGCAAACGGGGCGTGGAAATTAGAACCTAGACTCTGTGATTGGCAGCAATGAGAGGCTTTTTCTATTGTTATTTTCAACATGGGAAATTATGTTTTTTCAAGAACGTGGTAGGCTGAAGAGAGGGCAGCCAGGTTGCAAGCCAAGGCACACTTACCTGGTAGCAGGGCCTTTTTTATCCAGAATGCGCTGGAATGGCGTTTCAGCACCTCTCAGCTGGGCCCTGGAAGTGGGGGGAGAGACCTGACCAGCCTCAGCAAAGCCCCGTTGCACCTCCGGCTCACAAGGACATCCTGTACGGGCTCCAGAGTGGGTCCCCTTGTGACTTGCATGTTCAGCGGAGCTTTGCTGAGGTTCTTCAGCCTCCCAGCTAACAGCTGACGCACAGGAAAGCCCCACCTCAGCTGAGCAAGCCCCCCCCCACTCTGAGCCAGAGGGGGGAGCTCGTTAAGGTGCTCAGCTGAGGCAGGCTTGTGGGGAGACCCCCTTTCCCTCTTTGAGGGAGGTGCGTTCCGGCACCTTTTCATCTAGACGAAAAGCACTGCCTGGGAGCATATGCCATGAAATACAGTGGAACTTACTTTTGTATAAACATGCACAAAATTGCTTGGGCTTTTGGTTCAGGCTCTCCTAGTCACTATGCAGATTTCAGGTTGTACCCAGGGCTGCTGGAGCAAAGAAGCAAGTTATAGCTTATCCCTCGCATTTTTGAAAATATAGGTAATTTCTATCAGTTAGAATGAGGACTAACAAAAGAAGTGCTTCTTTACACAACGTCCATCATTGTCCTGGCCGGCACATTCGCAGAAGAGCAGCCAATGAACTGACAAGACTCCAGGTGTTGGGATGAAATCAGGCCAGTTCTTTATGGGCTGCAGAAGGCAGGTCAGCATGGCAATAGCACCAGCATCGGTTTGCCATCAACTCACCCGCTGCTGGTGGAATGGGATCCGCTGGGTTTGGACCAACCATGCCACAGTGCTGAGCCCTGTTGTGGTGCAAGCCAAGCTGGCAAGGTCTGACTGGGCAGCCGGGTGAGGATTCCCACCAGGCAGAGACCTAACCTGAGCTTGGGGCATGCCAGGCAAATTCGCCCCTCAGGCCCCTTAGGGATACCCACCTTCACTCCGTTGATCCTGCCCAATGCCATTCCCACCCCTATACATACAACGTTATTCCCCCTAACAAAAAACAACAAAAAAGGGTCATGTGTTTTACTGAGGGAATGGTGGAAAAACTCCCATCCAAGAGCCTATCGGGTTGAGAGAAAAAAATCCTTTCCAGCCCTGTCAACCAGCAACCCAGATAGCTCAGTAAAGGCTCTAAGCTGAACAGGGGCACCAGCTCCTGGGGGCTGAGCCCTCCCCCCTAATATTTTTTGGGTAGCAGTGTCCCCCCCTAATGTCCAAAAGCAGCCCCAATGGCCAACTCCTCCTCCTGCCGCAGAGGGGAAGGAGCGTCGAAGCCGCCTGGTGGCAGCACCAGGAGGAGGAGGAGGAGGAGGAGGACCGCCGGCCATTGAAGCCACATGGCCAACAACTTTGGCTTCACTCCTCCAGACATCCTGAAGTCACGCATGTGACGTCGGCCCCCACAATTGCCCTCACAAGCTGGTGCCTCTGAACCTGAGGGTTAAGCTTGTGGAGCAAAATGGAACTAAACTCTGAAGGGGGAAGCCTTAAATAGGCCTGACTCCCCTCAACCTCCCATGGGGGCCCAAAGACCCAATGGAGAATCTGTCCCGTTGACCCCTGCGGAAATAAGATGTGGGCGGGACTCACCTCATTTTCTGGGCCAAACTGCCCAGCGTGGATTGGGCCCAGAATGGAATACATGGAATTCACTGCTGCAAGATGCAGTGGTGATCTGTACCTTGGATGGCGTTTAGAAAGGAGTGGGGGAAATAATAGATCTGTCGAAAGATAATAGGTTTGATAACCAAATGTTCATGGGGGGTATACTAAGTGCAAGGGATTCCAGCCCTTCCTTGTGATTCCTTCCTTGTGAGATTCCATGGGCAGATTCCAGATTCCTTCCTTGTGAGATTCCATGGGCATCTGTCTGCCTGCTGGAGGCGTCCTGTAGCATGAGCAGGCTAGCTGGAAAAGCAATATTCTCCTCGAACATGCATAGGATAATGAGCTCCTTGTCTATAATACCACAAATAAAATTAATAGAGCTTATGATTCAGGTTGTTTGTTTTTACAGAAATGGAACTGGATTTAAGAGCGGTAGATCTCTCTAAGATGAAAGTGGCTGAGCTGAGGAAGATCCTGGACAGCTGGGGAGAAGTGTGCAGAGCATGCATTGAAAAAACGGACTTTGTGGATCTGATTAGAGCACTTGCACCAAAACATACAGCTGCATCTTCCAGAGCTGACCTCTGATGGAATGCCTGATCTTACTTCATGCAGTTACATCTCTAAGCATAAACCCTGAAATATTAATAGTTACAAGGAATTTGTTATAAATAAATGTTAATAGAAGTTCCTGGGCCTTGAAATACTTTTGTGGTAAAGTATAAAGAGAACTTGAGTAGATGAGAAAAATAAGGCACAAAAGAGCTGTGATCCTACACACACTTACCTGGGAGTTGTTCTTGGCATCTGTCTGTCTGTGTAGGGTTTACTCCGTAGCATTTTCTTCCCCTAAAAATGTCCTCCATGGACTTCAGTAGGACTTACGTCTGAGGAATCATAGAATAATAGAATATTAAAATTGTAGAAGTGGAAGGGACACCAAGGGTCATCTAATCCAACCCCCTACAATGCAGAAATCATGGCTAAAGCATCCATGGCAGATGGCCACCCAACCTCTGTTTAAAAATCTCCAAGGAAGGAGAGTCCACCACCACCACCCAAGGGAGACCATTCCACTGTCGAACAGCTGTTACCGTGAGAAAGTTTTTCCAAATATTTAGTAAGAATCTCCTTTCTTGTAACTTGAAGCCATTGCCTCAAGTCCTACCCTCCAGAGCAGGAGAAAACAAGTATACTCCCTCCTCCATGTGACAGCCATTCAGATATTTGAAGGCTGCTATCATAGCTCCTCTCAGTCTCCTCTTTTCCAGGCTAAACATACTCAGCTCCTTCAAGTGACCCTGGATCATCTTGGTTGCCCTCCTCTGCACGCGTTCCAGCATGTCAATATCCTTCTTAAACTGGGGTGCCCAGAATTGGACACAGTATTCCAGGTGTGGTCTGACCAAGGCAGAATAGAGTGGTATTATTACTTCCCTTCAGCTGGACAGTCCCTCTCTGCGTCTCCATTCCTTTTTGGCCACCGTCAAATGAGGGCGATGGTGACTGGACTATTGATCCTGAGCTAATTAGCTGCCCAGCCCAGCTTGACACCCCCCACCAAGTGCCCCCCCCTGGACCCACCTCTCTCAACCGACTCTCAACTGCCTCCCCCCCAACAATCAAACTCCCTTTCCAAGCCTCCTCCAATCTTCTCCACCAGAATTCCCCTCCCCTCCCCCCACCGCTTAACATTCCCTTTGGAATTCAAATAGAATTACTTTAGTTACAATATTACACACAATATTGTTATAGATTGAGGGAGGACCCCACCAAACCCTAGAAATTAATAAATGGTAGGATTTGGGTTTTGAAGGGAGAAATGCAAGCTGCAGAGGAATTCCTGGGCTAGCCTATGCAGAAGGACGAGGCCAAGCGAGGGCCATTAGGAAACAATTCAAGGACAAGGAGAGTTGAACTGGAAATGCCAGAGAACTGCTTCTCCCTTGCCCTGCGGTGTGAACAGAGACGGGATTTGAAAGAGCCAGGATAACTGGGTGTGAGGTGGCAGGAAAAGAGAGGTTTTGAGCAAGGGGTGCTGGGAAGAAGAAGGAGGAAGAGGAGGAGGAGGAGGAAGAGAGTCTGGAACCCAACTTGGGAAGACTGGCTGCCCTGCTGTGGGGGACAAGTCCCTTTGGAAAGACTGCTGAAAGATCTGGACTCCCCCCCCCCATGTAGACTGAAGGTGTAAACAGGTGAATAAACCGTATTTCTTAAAGGTACGGCAGCCTCTGCCAAGTCTCAACGCTCCAGAGGTGAGAGCCTGGAACACCATGGGGTTTTGCCACCGCTCAGCAGAGAGAGGGGAGACACCCAACTTTTGGAACAATATTTTATACACCCTGGTACCTGAAAGCATCCTGTTAGCACTTGAGCTTCCCATTCCTGGTTCCTAGGAAATCAGGGAACGCAAGTTGCAGGTTCCTCATCCCTGTTCTAAAAAGCAGGTGTCTTCCACTAAATGATCCGGGGAATTGTAGTTTGTCAGAGGTTCTTGGAATTGTAGATTTGTGAGAGGGAAGCACTTTAAATCATAGGATGATAGAATTGTTGTGTTGGGAGGGACCCTGAGGGTCATCTAGTCCAACCCCCTGCAATGCAGGAATCTCAGCTGAAGTGTCCATGGCTGATGGCCATCCAACCTCTGCGGAAAAACCTCCAAGGAAGGAGAGTCTACTGCCTCCTGAGGATTCCTTCCCACTGTCAAGCAGCTCTTCCTGTCAGAAAGTTTTTCCTGAAGTTGAGTCAGAATCTCCTTTCTTGTAGCTTGAAGCCATGGCTTCAGGTCCTGAGGGCCTCTGGAGAAGGAGAAAACAAGCTTCCTCCCTCCTCCCTGTGACGGCCCTTGAGCTATTGACAGGGCTGCATGGTGTGGCTCTCATATCCATGTCCTGAGAGAGAGAAAGCAAAACGTTTCTCCCTTTCCTTTCTCCACTCCATGCAGAATTGCAAGGGGTCAGTGCATTTTGCTGGTAAGAAAAAGGTCGGAGTTTGGAGCCCAGCCAGGGCTGACTGTGGGCAGGATCCTGGCATTCCTGGGGGGTTGGACTAGATGACCCTTGGCATCCCTTCCAACTCTACCATGCTATGATTCTATCAAGCAGCTAAAGGAACGGGTGGGGGAGCAAGATGCAGAACAAGGGGAGGCGCAACCACACACCCCAACAGCACCCTTTGGCCTGACCCACGGTGCCTCATCCCAGCATACTTTGACCTCCCTGATTTTATTTTTCTTCATTCAGCTGCCTGACAACCCAGCAGCCTGGCCCCTGTTTGTCATCTGATGTCACAAAGAGCCACTTTGCAAGCAAGCCTTATATTACCCTGCAAGAGGGATGCCTGTCAGATGATGGTGAGATGCTTGCCAAGATACTTGCCCATCACTGATCATGAGTAGGAACTGTGAAGATAGGAGGGGCACAAAGCCCTGAGTAGAAATTTATTATTATTATTATTATTATTATTATTATTATTATTATTATGAGGCTTGGCTCCCTGGCTTGACTTGTTGACAGCTGTAGATAGCTTGCCAGGTCCCTGCCTGTGGACTTAGCCCCTTTTCATGCTGCAGGGGCCCCATATGGGATCGTTTGTACACAGCTTTGGTTTTAAGGGAAAGGCGTCTGCACGGGGCAGGAGCGCAGTGAGATTTATTTTGTATTATTTGTTTGCACCATCACTGCATGTGACCCTTAAGAGGTTCTTGCCCCAAGGGGCTTACAATCTTTAATTTGACACAGGGAAGGAACAGAGGAAGGTTGAGGTCCGGGGTGTATCCTAAATCCTCCTGTGAGACATCAGCCAGGGTCTGTGGGTTTAGATTTTGGGATTCCCGGACATTTCCCATCTGTAACCTCTTCCTCTCTTTTTGCAGTAGGGTAATGAAGGTGATTCTATTAAAATTCCCAAGTGAATGTCCAGCAGGGAGGGAGGGGGAAGAGAGAGAGAGGAATTCTGGTGGAGACGGGAGGTTGGAGGAGGCTTGGAAAGGAAGAGTGAATGTTGGGGGGAGGCAGTTGAGAGTCCGTTGAGAGTGATGGGTCCTAGAGGGGGGGGCCTGAAGCTGGGGGCTGGGCAGCTCTTCAGGATCAGTAGTCCAGTCATAGGATCAAGTGTGCCCATCAGTGATCATGAGAAGGAACTCTGAAGGTAGGAGGAGCTCCGAGGTCTAGAGGAGATGAGTGGCATAGAAATACTGTTGTTGTTGTTGTTGTTGTCGTTATGACGCTGGAAGATGAGCCCCTCAGGTCGGAAGGCGTCCAACATGCTACTGGGGAAGAGCGGAGGACAAAGACAAGTAGATTCAGAGCTGATGAAGCGGCTGGGCCAAAGCCAAAAGGCTGCTCAGTTGCGGATATGCCTGGAAGCGAAAGGAAAATCCAATGCTGTGAAGAAAAACATTGCATAGGAACCTGGAATGTAAGAACCATGTACAGTGGTAAGCTGGATGTGGTCAAAAATGAGATGGCAAGAATAAATATTGACATTGACTGGAGTGGAGGTCCAGCGAATTCCAGCTGAAGCAAAGCACTGCTGCTCCGTGTAATCATCCTGTTAGAAGAAGCACTTCAACTCCCCGTTCCTGGGAGATGGGCGTGAGCAAGCTGCAGGTTCTTCATCCCTATTCTAAAAAAACAAATGCCTCCCCACTGTAGTTTTTTAGGGGCTCTGGGAATAGCTCCTATTAGCAGAGATCCGTGGAGTCCTAGGAACTCAGTCATGAGGAGGAACTAGCAAGGTAGGAGGAGCTCAGGTGCCCGGTTCTGGAGTTGGGGAGGGACCCCGTGCCTTGGAAATGGAAAACCGTTGGGTGTTGAGTGTCCCAGGATTGTGCCTTGCCTTCAAGGGGGATGCCTGGGCAGCAGCGGAGCAATCCGCATGCCCTGCACCCAGGGGTCCCTCCCCAAGCCAGGGCAACACGCTCTGTGGGGCCTCTGAGGAGTCTGCCTGCTGCCCTACAGCTGAGGGGGAGGCGGCGGATGGACCATTTGGGCACCGCGGAGCCTGCACGCAGCTAAGCCACCACGTCTCTCCCGGGAGAGTGAGTGCCACCTGGCATTTTGTCACCCCCCTCAGTAGTGACACCCGGGTGGCCCGCCCCCACCGCACCACCCTTCCTCCGCCCCTGCTTGGGCCCAGTTTTCCTACCTGTTAAGGTCATCTTGAATCCTGATTATTTCTTCTGCGGCATTAGCTACCCCTCCCAGTTCGGTGTCCTCAGCAAAGTTGATGAGCATCCCCTCAATTCCTTCATCCAAGTCGTTTATAAAGATATTGAAGAACAACGGGCCCAGGAGAGAACCCTGTGGCACTTGTCACTATTTTCCAGGATGACAAGGAACCATTAATGAATACTCTTTGGGTTCGGTCACCCAACTAGCTACAAATCCTCCTGACAGTTACCTCGTTCAACCCACATTTTACCAGCTTCTCTGCAAGAATATCATAGGGGACTTTGTCAAAAGTCTTACTGAAATCAAGATACACTATGTTCTCAGCATTCTCCTCATCCACAGTATGGAATTGTGCAGCAAATGAGCATGATTTGGGGAGGCAGAGAATCCCATCTTAAAATGGTAGAACTGTCTGGCCTCAAACCCCAGTAGAACCTCTCCTTTAAAACGGGGACAGAAGAAAGCTATCCTTAGGCAATGTTGGCTTAGCAAGCCGTTTTACTGGGTGCTCTACTTGGCACAACAGCCTATTAATTGCCCCTGAAAGGCAGAGTAGCTGGGAGCTGGGACTGCGCTTTGGTTGTTGGTGACCAGCGCTCGTTCTAAGGGCCGTGTGGCTCTTGGTCTGCCTGCCGTGCCGCAACAGTGTCTGGCAGCGGTCCAGAGGTGCTTTATGCCCCTCTGTCTCCCATGAGGAGAAGAGAAAGTGCCTTGTCCACCAACCATGGGATGGGGGCGGTGGGGG